GCGTCTCCAATCCAGATGCCATTGCTCATGAAAATCGTTTATTCCCAATGCACGCTTGCTGTTCTCGATTTCTTTTGGCTTGTGAGCACAAGGGATGCTCATTGTCGAGGTGAAAACCATTGTGCAACAAGCTTTTTCTTCTGTGTTCCTCTTGAATTGATCAAGACACTTTTTGAGTGCAAAGGCTGAAATGGTCTCGGATAATGGAGTGAAAGTTGACGGCAACCCGGTCAGGTGAAGTAACTTGTCTCTGCTGCGATGTGTTGCTTCGGTTCTAACTTAATGCTCAATTGCAAGAGTCAGTTTGCTGAGCACCGCCAGTAAGTTCCCTGTTGATACTTGCAGAAACGTTTTACGTACGCATGGGCGCCTTCCACTCGTGATGTAGCTTTGTTGATAAATTGGAGATACCTCGACGTCCAGGCATTTACAAAGCGATCCTTGTAAATAAGCCACGTATTAGAGATTTATTCGAGAACTTAAGACTTACTGTCAAAAAAGTTTGATAGCTCTTTCCAGTTTTTTAAATCCCTCTTCCGTGTTAGCAGCCACCAGATTATTCCACTGCTGAAGAAACAAGTTCCATCGCTCGCTCTCCTCAAATTGTCGTTTGCATTTGGACATGATGTTTTTGTTGATGTGCCATGTGCACAGCATGTGTGATGAAGATGGAAATATTTTATCGATAGCTGCCATCAGCGACAGTTCACGGTATGTCAAAATCACGGCTGGGCGCGTCTCTGGTGTCAGGATGGCTGCAAGTTTTGATAATGCCCACATGCAATCGTTTTGCTTCTCGTCTTTAAGAAAGCAGAAGCCAACCGAAAATGGACTATTGAAGCTTGTTGTACCAACAATATGAAGTAAGGGGAGTCGGTACTTGTTTGTCTTGTATGTGCAGTCCATAAGCACGACATGATGGTCTCGGCAAGCAAGCCGAATACTTTCTTTGTGAGCGAAAAAAGGGAGGTTATTGCTCCATCAGCATCACATCTGTGAAAGCGCGTAAAATTGCTTGCTTGCAAATCATCAAAAAGAACTTGTATAGGTGTCCTTCCATTTATCATCTCCTTTTGAAGTTTCGTACGCTCATTTTACAATGTAGAGAGGTTTGCTAGGCCACCTTCATTCTCCATAAGAAGGGATGAAAGAATCCCTAACGGTTTAAGATCATCCAATGTCATATTTCTGACAGTATCGGCCTTCTCGCTATTTGGCTTCCTATGAGTTGAATGACCAGACGGATGGAGTGACGGCTTGCGATTGTGGCATCTATTCATTACGTTTAACTTCCAATTACCCCCTTTTTAGAGAAATTTCCACTTAAAAGGAACGGGCAATCAATTTGGCGTGAGCTGGTCTGGCGTTGGCGCTATTTTCCAACCTTTGGTACGTTTACGGCACCTCGGTCACATTTAAGGTAGACACGCTTTCCTGCAATCGAACTTTTAATCGTAACAGAATAGCCTTGGCCACGTGCGAACGTCTGCACAGTATCCATAAGTTGCTCCCGACTGGCAAAATCAACCTCGGGAAAGGAAGCATGTTATTGCGTGGTGCCCTCTCAGTAAACACTGGAGGAGCTAGACCACAGGCTTGAGTAGTATCTTATGTATTTCTTACGTATTACTTGCCAATTAATGGCCTAGAAAAATGAGTAATACCTTTGTCAGGAATCAAATCTTAAAATGAATAGGGATTTTACATATAAGATTTTGAAGGAAGGGTGCGAATCTAAGGAAAAGGGGTGTGAATTCAGCAACTCCCTATATATTAATGTTTGAGTATATATTGCATACATACTGCTTACATTGGCATTTATTAGTGTCAATCTCATGTGACCGGGTCACCGTCACAGCGGACGTCCGCAACGTGTAGTTATCATTTAGTTATAAGCCACGGCTGTTTTTGGATACGTTCAACAAAGATGGAAGTCTTGTGCAAATGACAACATATGTTCATTACAGTTCTCTATGCCTTCGACAAACGTGTTCGATAGTCATTTCGACACCTCTATACCTCACGTACGTGAAGTTACGAGACCTGCCTACATTTTGTCAGTGCAGGTTAGCTCGTACTGTGTGCACAATAATCCCCCATTATACAACAGGTCTTCAGCAACACGCTAAGCGATATACTTCGATGCAATCAATATGACTCCTAGTCCATTTGCGGTTGACCCTTTAACAAACAAATGTGTACATTTGGGCCGCGTCCCATTGCCGATTCGAGCAAATATATATTTCCAGACCATTCGGGCCCAAGTAACGGTCTCCTACGATCCCCTCTTGTGATGCGCGAATGACATCATAGGTTTGAGGCTCAGCGTGCGTATCGTCTGCGCAACTACCTTTGTATAACATCGGAACCTTGCACGAATGAGCGCTTTTCCGGCGACGATACCTGGTGCATCATACTTTCTTGTTGGTGGCATATCAGCAACAGCGTCATTTACATGCCATAACAGAGACAATGTATCGTTGGCCACATATTTCCATCCAATTTAGCTTGTGGCCGACGTATCGCCACCACAGCCACCGCAGATTTACACACTGAACTCGTAGGACCGTATGCCACGCTCTTCACAGCTACGTAAATACCTTGAGACGGCTAGCCTGGTTTACGAGGACCGTCTTGTTGCAACTTCCCTGCACGACAGCGTAATCATGAGGATTCTACGATAGTTTGGGTGGTCTCGATCTAGGTTGAGTTTATATTGAGTCATACGCATCGCTAGTAACAAGCAGTTGTTGAGGCGGGGTCACCGTGTACATCCCTGCGCAGAGGCACAACAACAAGTTTGCAAGTTTGCTAGACGGTATCTACATCTTAAACTCTTCTCTGGAAGCGGTAGGCCATATCAATGCTCAAGCTCTGAAATGGCATCCTTGTCAAAATTCATCAGCAGACACCACGTGCACACGCCGTTCACAATACTTCATGTCATCGTCTCGTTCTTGTTAGTAGGCTCATACCATCACCGCGTATAAATGACAGTATTCTGCAAGTCTCCTCGATGGAAGCCCACACATGTCGCTGGAATGTCTTTCTTCTATACTACCACTTCGGTACACTTCGCGTACCACATCGGACGCGACTTGCACTTGTAACGATCCGGTGGCATTGTAGCGTGCTCCCTCTCCTCATATGGTGAACATAGAAGACTAGTCATCAACCATTTTGGCGCCAGCTACGACGGACATTGTCACACTCTGCTCGACTCTCGAGGCAATTCACACACTCATGATGCATACCACAACAGTGCACTTGCCATCGAGTCTACTCGTCCAGACAGCGACACTACCGCACGGATAAATGGCCCCTCAAAAGCTCATGTCTGCTACAACAACTCGTCTAGCGCGTGGTAAGTTGACGAATCGGTGGCATATCGCTCGCTCTCGTCCGTCTCAATCAACGCTCGCTCCTCTTTGATGTCCACCTTTGCACTAGTTCCGCTTTCTCGTCCCTTGATCTTCCGTGCAAATGCTGCCGTCGTGCCGTTGTAGCTCGTTGGAATTTTCTCGGCACTTTTTCATGCGCGTCGTTTCGCTTGCGTTGCTCGCGATGTCGCGCAGCAACACGACAGGTTTCATCGACACGACGGGACCAAAACTGTACCGTAGGAAAAGAGTCGGAAGAGTCCCATCGCCAACATGTCTCGCGCCGAACAAAAGATGCAGTGACGTGGACGAGTTTCTTCCCTCCATAAACGTATGAGCACAACGAATACCACGACGAACACGAAGCGCTCACTTTGTTTACAGATCGATGGCTACGTTGCTACCAAAGACAAGAGTGCTGTTCGACCCAGCGGCACGGCATTGTCTCTCTGGACGCCCAAGTCGCTCGAAACTGCGCAGTCACGCAGTAGTAGACATGCAAGTGGAGAGCATAAGCATGGCGTGACAGTCTATAGGATGTGCTATCGTATGGTCGCTAGTTAAAACTCGAAGGGGTCCGATATTCACGCAAACGACATCACTAAAGCGACAGCGCACCACATGGTTTTCGATCTATGGTGGACAGCCGCTTCACCCCGTCGTACCATTTGAAAGCCCTCTTGTCATGAGCCGGCAGCGCTGTTGCCGGTAAAAGTAAAGCAGACGCAAACTCGCGCACGATCGTGTGCGGTAATGGACCTGTGTGGCGGAATGCTTCGAAGCGTCGGACGTTCTGTGGACACGTTTGCGTGTCACGCGTCGAGTCGCTGTGTTGTCCGTCGAAAGAGTCCGATGTGTGGATGCACTACGACGCGGCGTGACGACACTTGCAATTTCTGTCGGCATTGCTTGACCGATTGTTTATCACTGTGTGGACACGCGATTCGGGACACCGCACAGGCTGTCGTACACTTGTGTGAAGAAGTCTTCACACTTTGTCGCAATTCGTCTGACAGAGTCTTTTATCAGCACGAGAGACGTCAATTTCTCCCATCTCTCACGACGCAGTTACTGCGAGTGCAAAGGACGGCGCTATTCGGGAAAGTGCGTCAGGTGAAAGCCGAATAGTGGAGTGCAAATGCTTTGTAAGGCAAAAGCTGAATACAGTGTAGTACGATGCACTTCTTTCGCAAGGTCAAAGCCGGAACCTCTCGTCCGCTTTTTCTCTAAGTGTCCGTGTGTGAACGTCACGCACGTGATTGGCTCAACTTGATCAGGACGAATATCGCAATAGGCGACATGCAGCGATAGCGTATGCAGCTTTCGTTAGAGGTCAGCAGGAGGCACTTCAACGCCGCCCGACAGACTCTCCCTATACTGAAACTCTCGTGCTGGTCAGTACCTGAATATTGACGATTGACACAAACAGGCAGCAGCAGCGGACTTAAGTCATCACACAGCTGCTGGATAGATGCGGCCGAGACATTGAGCACCGACAATTCTATTCCACAAACTACGCTTTCCAGTGTCCTTGGCCACATTGTTGACTTGTGTCACTGATTCAACCCACTGCGGCACGAGCGCCAGCCCAATGACTCTCTCAGGTATCCACTTCTACAGTTACTTGAACACCTTCGAGTCGGCAATGGGTTTGCCCTCCAGCTCGTCTTCGTTGCACCAGTAGGCGGTAATACGGGCCTTTGTCTCGTCGTTCAGCTCCGCCTTCTTCCACGTGTAGTACTCGGCGTCCGGGTTCGCTTCGATCATGTGCTTCTCCGAGTCGCCACGGAAGAGCCAGCAGCCAGTAATGATGATCTCGGAGCCCTCGACACCGCACACATCCATCACGCCAAAAGCGTACTTGCGCATAGCTTCCGAGCGCTGCAGGAAACCGCCCACGGCGTTGCACGTCATAAACATCTTTGTGTTCTCGTTGTTGTAGTTGTAGTCGCAAAACCACAGCGAGTATCCCTCCGTGTCTAGGTTCTCCCAGAACCACGTCATGGCATCCGCCAAATCCTTTGCGTTCGAGTACTGCACCTTCCACGCGTCCAAGCTCATCGACGACGGCTTCTCGCGGTTCAGCACAGCCAGCGGGTGCTCCACCTTCTTGGGCTTTGGCTCCTCTTCCTTCGGGGCGGCCTTCTCTTTCTTTGGCGTCTCCTTCTTCTCCTTCTTGCCCGAGTTGTCACCCTCCGCGGTCAGCGCAACGTCAATAAGTGGCACGTCACCAACAATAGCCTGGAACTCAGGCTGGTTCACCAGCGTTGAGAACCAACGGTTCACAGCCGAGAACGGTTTGCGGAACTCCTTGTCAAGCACAAACTTAAACGGGTACACAAGAGCCGAAGCAACAACAATGTCGGCGAGCGTCACCTGCTCGCCCACCAAGTACGTGCGCAGGTGCAAGTGGTTCTCCAGAGTCTGAAGAGCCTTCTTCACGTCGGCCTTGGCCCTCGTCAGGGCAGCAGCATTGAACTGACCAACGCCCAAGACAGGGTGCACCCACACTTCCAGAGGTACCTCGAGCTCGTAGGCGGAAAAGTCAATCCACGAGTCCACCTGACCCGACTCGAAGAACGTCTTGCCATACAGACCCGTGTCTGGACGCAAGCGAGCAATGTAGCGGGCAATGGCGCCGCTCTCAAAGATACACCCTTCATCCGTCTCGAGGATCGGGACCTTGCCAGTGGGCGTTTTGGCCTTGAAACTTGCTGACTTGATCTCCTTCTGGAAATCAAACGCCGGGAGCTCCAGGTCAATGCCGTTGTACTCGGCGGCAATGAGCACCTTGAAGACGCGGTAGTTGGCAGGGTACGTGTAGAGCTTCTGTTTTGCCCACATAACAGCAACAACAACAACAACAAGACATTGACAGAGAGCGTGAGTACGATAGGGGCGCGTTAGGCACAGCATAAGGTACAGCACGAGAGACCATTGGCCACGATCTTAGTACGGGACGAATTGACGACTGAAACGAATGGAGCGGCGTCGCCGGACTGTCAACTGCAATATTTGCAATCGCGAGGCCAATATTTACACTAGATTGTGGCCAATGTTAGCTTGTGGCTAGGCATGCGGTCGGTCGCGTTGGATTTTATCCGAAAGTGTATCATCGTAAGTGACAATAAAAAACACACATAGAAACGTCTCGAAAGAACTGTGCGCCACGAACGCGCGCGCGCGCTCTCTCCCACACTCCAGCCCCGCTGCCTGGCGTGTCCAGAACCCAACTGTCTCCGATCGGGCGTAAAACGAACAAGTTGCGCCAGCGCGCGATCGCCACGCCACCCGTCGGCAGCAACCCACGAGCAGCAACATAACCGCGCCCACCCACCCACCCAGCGCTGGCTTCCTCGCCCACTTCCCCCACACTCGAACCACATTCACACGGCCCCACGACACAAAAGCACTTAGAACGTCGACGGGAAAGACTCGGCCGCCTGCTCCCGCCGCAACGTCCGCCCACGCGCCGCCACACAGCGCCGCCACTGCACCGGCAGACCGACCGACCGACGCGTAAAAGAGCGAGAGAGAGCATAGCAGGTCGAAGCACAGCGTCCCGCGCGCGTGGCTCATGGTGAGCCGAGACAAACGCGACAGTAGCGGCCTCCGCGTGTCGGAGCGCGAGCCAATGGACAGCAGCGCCACCAGTGCGCCGCATCCACGGAACCCTAAACCGCGTCGACCGCACGTGCCGCCTCCGCCGCCCCCGTCGTCGTCGTCGTCTGCTTCGTCGTCTTCTTCTGCTCCGTTTGGTCCTATTGGTAGTAAAAAAGAGACTGGACGTCAGATGCCGGGCAGCGAGTTGCCGTATCACGTGCGCATGGACGGGGCCATGAACGCCAACGAGCTGTTTCCCAGTGGCATGATCGAGTCGAGGTGCGTGTGCGTCTGGATGTGGCTCGTGGCTTGTCGCTGCTTCTCATGGGTACTCATGTTGTGGACTGACACTGTACTTGTGCTCTTTTGTGTGTTTTGTGTGTTGTGTTGCTGTTTTGTTGTTTTGTTGTTGTGTGTGTTGATAGCAGAGCTGGCTACTCGTCGATGAAGACGCCAGTAGAGGGAAAGGACTATGCGTCCAACGCGAAGCGCGTGCGGTCAGTGGACGAGAGCTCGGAAGACAGCATTGACAATGGGAGCTACGTGACAGACAAGATCCAGGGCGGGATCAACGAAGGCATTGGCTGGTTCCATGCCAAGATCAAAGTCGAGAACACGATTCACTGGGCCAACAACTACAAGATCCAGTGCTGCATGTTTTTCATTTTCATCTGCGGCGCTGCGCTTACGGTGGCTTTTGCCGACAACGACGCCAATGCGTCCGTTGGACTCGTGGCTGGCAGTCTCATTACGCTCTTCTGCTGTTCAGCAGTGGTGTACACGTTCTTGACGCGCCCGACGTGGCGCAAACACCCGAACCCCATCATTTTCTTCCGCAGTATCTGTGATATCTGTCTAGTCGCAGTGCTGCTGATTACGGAGCTGTACAAGTGCGGCAGTGGCGATTGCTCGAACTCACTTACAGGAGCATCTTGTACTGCAACAGCTGCGCTCACGCAGTTTTTCCTCTGGACATCGGAGAGTTGGTTTTTTGTCATGGCTATCGACATGCTGTCGTCGCTGCAGAGTCCGTTCACTGATTACAAGAGTAACGTTCGTCGGTACCACGGCTTCGTATGGGCAACAGGTATGCAGATTGTGGTGTTGTTAGCAGCGATATCGGTTGAAGAGCTTTGTGCTGATTCTGAACATTTGTGTACGTGTATGCAGGCCTCCTCACGTGTCTCCTGCTGGTATCGATCCCGGATTTTGCTGGCGAGTCCGAATTTGGATATTGCTGGACCGCAAGCAAAAGCAAATTACGTCATGGCAGGAGGGACAGCTCTGGCTCGAGCGATACAGGCAACCTGTGGAACCTCAACTTTCAGTACGTTTACCTGTCACTCGTATATAGATCGGTCGTGCGCGGGTCAAAGATCATTGTCTAAGTGTAACGCGTGTTTCGTGTGAGCAGATCGTGGCTGCTGTTCTACATCTGGCTCATTTTGTTCTGGATCTATGCCATCACGTACGTTTGCACGTTGACGATGTTTGGCAGCGGTCGTGCGTTGTTGACGAGTGTATCTCTTGTTTGTGGTAATCTCGTTCAGTGTGATCTACTGGGCGTACAGGCGCCTGAACTCTGGTCTTTCCGAGACGCTGCGCATGCGTCTTCGTGTGTTGCACTCGGTGACGATGTAAGTGAACGTGCATTGTGTATATCTGAAGAGTGTATGCACTGACTTTGCTTCTTTTCTGCCCGCGTAGTTATGTGATTGCCATCATCATCTACTGGGGACTATCATTTTGTATCTACGTGCCGTTCTTGGTCCAAGGGAACGATCGGTCCAGTCGCGTGGAGCACATGATGAACTTTATGATCACATGCAAGGGGTACTTCGATTTCGTGGTCTGGTTCCAAATGAACGATTTCCACGATGCACTGAAGAAAGGCAAAGGAAAGAAGACGGACGTTGATGTGGATGTTGACTTGAGTCCTCAAGTGAACCTCGCCTTGCGTTGCGAAGTGTTGTACTACACGACAACGGGAATCATCCAGGCTGTGCGAGACACGCAGCATTTGCCACCGGGAGCTAACCAGCAAGAATTGTATCTGCAGCCACAAGGTACAGAGGACAACCGCGGATCGCTCGGCGTTGATGAGTACATGATTCGCACGCGCCCGAAAGCTGCATTGGGTAAGGGCACGTTATTTATTGACTATTGCCCGCACACGTTTCAGACGATTCGTGAACATTTCGGCATCAACACGAACCAGTACATTGAGAGTCTGAGCCGAACAACAAAGGAACGACTGAGTGAAGGCGCCAGTGGCGCCTTTATGTTCTTTTCGCACGACCAGCAGCTGATCGTGAAGAGTATGAGCGACGAGGAGTCGGTCTTCCTGCGCTCAGTAGCAGCAGAGTATGCGTCGTTCTTGCTCACGAACCCGGACAGTCTACTGACGCGCTTTTACGGCTGCCACGCGATTCGGCTGTATGGCAATACGTTTAATTTCGTTGTTATGGCGAACTTGTTCAGCACGGAGAAAGTGATCCACCGGCGGTACGATATCAAGGGTTCGTGGGTGAATCGCAGTGCGAAACATCCGTCGAAAGGCAAGCGAGTCACGTGTCGTCACTGCAATGCCAAGTATGTCTTTGGCTCGACGGATGCGGAGAATTGTCGTGCACGAGTGGGTCGTCACGAGCCAAATGTGATTTTGAAAGACAATGACTTGACAGCGAAAGTGCGTTTGAATCCGAAGGTTGCTGAGGAACTGTACGACCAGCTAGTGAAGGATGCGAACTTCCTGTCCCGTTTAGGGATCATGGACTACTCTCTTCTGCTCGGTATTCACAACGTGGAGTACATGGTGAACCCGGACTTGGAGGAAGACCCTGTGATTCCGCCAAAAGATGCGGTCGGACCGAGACGTCGCAGTACTGCAAACAACTCGTCCATGGTGGGATCAAATGCTCCTATCAGGGAGTCCAAGCCGCAGACAGGTCTCCCTCGACTCGCAACGGGCACCCGTCGGGCAAACACCGTGGTCGGTCCCTCTATCTACTACTTCGGGCTCATTGACATCCTGCAGACGTGGAACATGGACAAGAAGCTCGAGCGCTTTGCAAAGACCAAGTTGCTGGCAAAGGATCCGGACGGTTTGTCTGCGATTCCTCCCGCTGCGTACTACGAGCGGTTCAAGCGCAAGATGGGCGAGATTTTGTCGGTCACGCTTCGTGACGAATACACCGAGTTGTATGTTGGGGAGCGGAGAGAGGGCAATGGTGTTGATACGGTGGACGCCGACCCGAACCGGCGTTTTTTTTTAAATTGTGAGGCCTCGGTGGGAAACGAAGGCACTGGTGACGCCCCCCACCGAGGGCCCGCCCTCACGGACCGAAGAAAGCTCCACCCCCTGCTCGGCGGGTTTTTATGTTGACACTGCGTGCTACTACTGCGCGTTATAGCGGGTGTACTTTTAGCAATAAACAACACGAGCAGTTAGCCCCAATTGAAAACCAGTCACGTAGGACGTACCGTCGACGGGTCGAATAAAGCCGCCGAGTGAACAACAGCAGCGAGACATACTGAATCGAAGTCAATTGCACCCTTTGAGTCGCGACACGACGCCAATCGGTTCACAAGCCGAGCAAATACATACATTGCGACTCTTTTGCCCCTCGTGGCGGGAAAAGCCAAGTCTCTTGTTTTCAGTATGGACTCTCCCGCCAAAAACGCCCTCGTTGGTCATTCAAAGCCCATCGCCGTCATCAGCTCTGCCGTCGAGCCAAACGCTTATGGCCACGCGCCATGACAGCCGCCACCGCCGCCGTCCCGTCTGCAACGCGATCCTCAAGTGGCAATTGCAGCAGGAAGAGAAGCGCGTTGCCGAGGCGCACTACCGTCTCACGCGCATGTCGGCGCCATCGCCGTCGTCGTCGCTGCGTGTTGTCCCCAGCAGCAACAGCAGCAACAGCTCTTTCGACCGTCGGGTGGGCGCCCGAAGACCGCGAGCTGAAGCGCCGTATTACCACGACACGGACGCTGTGGACACGACGCTTTGTATGGCGCCACACGAGCACAAACGCGTCACGAACGGCCAGAGGGACGGCTTGGTCGAGTCAGAACGTCCGTCTCAGTCGCTCGTGCGTGACTCGAACGAGGTCTCGACGTCCGATAATGCCACGAGAGAGTTTTATGCGGTACGAGAGGATCGACAAGGGAGACCTCGAGACGGTCGGACGGATGGAAAGCTGTTACGTGTTGAAGTTCCAGCAGCGAAGCGGTCGGTCGAAAGACGAGGCGCTGGTGTGTCATTGAAAAGATCACCAGATGTTGATGGGGAGACGTCGCTTTCGGACGGACGGCGGACGAATGCGATGTTGTTGCATTGCGATACGGTGGACGCGTCAGTATTGGGGAAGTGGTCTCGTGAAGACGATAGTCGAGAAGGTATCGCGTCGGACATGAAGACAGCGAAAGCCAGAGACAAAGAGACGATGTGGAAGGGGTCGAAGTATGGTGCAAAAGATGCACAGGCCCATGTGGATCAACTATCAGCGCCTCCACCAGTGACGTACTCTCCAAGCAACAGCTTTCTTGACATGTTTGCTAGCAGAAGGTCGGCTGTACATGGTGATGCTGCTTTGTACTTTGAGAACGGAGGGCATCGATTTCAGTCTCTGTTGGACGTGGCGATGGGGGACAATATGATGGCACCGAGCGAGTTATCTACGGACTCCATTGGCAAAAGAACGGTGTCATTTGCGGAGCAGCATCACGAGGGTATATCGCCTGCTGCCGCTGCAAATGGACCTGCCGCCTCAGTACCAGGACAGAGTGTCGCGGACATCCTGGCGTCCCTGGAAGACACGTCGACTGGTATCGAAGCACTCGATGCCAATGTTGAAGCTGGAAACGGTTACGACTCTGATGGGTCTACCGGCCGAAATCGATTGCAGCTCTTTTGTGGTGACTTCTGTAGTAGCTGGGTTCGCTGTGCACAAGTCAAAGCGTTGTCTGGTGTGGAAGTTTCGCGGTGGGCCTTGGTCGTGGTGGCTTGCTGTTTCGCAATCGGAACCTGCGGCTTTTTCATGGAAGAGTTGATGGTGGTCTTGATGGCGTTGTATTCGAAACGGATACACTTTTCGCTATCGAAAGCTGACCAAAAACGAATGCGTGACCGCGTTGATGCTCTTCAGCAAAAACTCCGAGCTTTCCAGCTATCAGTTGCGACGATTGACATGAAGTCGCAGAAGGCTCTGACCGATCTTCGTCGGCTCATCGCTAAAATGCGTCAAGATCGCGAGAGACATCAACACATGCTCGCGAATGAAATGCAAGGTTTTCGCCACCACATTTCACATGCCACACATGAGCTAGTAGAGCAAGAACGAGAGCTGATTCAGGCACGGCTGGCAGAAGTCGCGGAAATGCAAAGGAGTGACGACAAGGCTGTAGACAGCGAAAATACTATCGTTGGGTCCGCCAGCGTCGACGCCGACCAGATTTTGGAAGAAGACATTACTGGAGAACCCGTCCAAGTCCTCGCCACGGGTGGGTCTTCTTACGAGGCAATACAAAGTTCGTTCGTGGGGACTGATGTAATCATTAACACGCAGTTCTGTTCGGAGCTGACAAAGGCTGTGCCGAGCCACAAGCTTGTAACGAGGAATGAGGTAGATGTGTCTTTAGCAGAAGCTTCCAGTCCAGATTACGAGCAGGCTCACGCTGGGCAACGTGATGTTGGCCGCGAGCTCGAGCTAGTCGGAGGTTTGCCGAAAGTGGTGAGCGAAGAGTCCGCAAATGTACATGACATTGAACTTGACGATAAGTTGTTTGCTCAGATTGAGGAAGTCGACATCAAGCGTGTACACGAGATCGAATCAGCTGCACCGCCAGCATCCGACCAGGACGTCATCAAAGTCGATGGTGTTGTCGCAGTTGTTCCCAATCACATTGAGCCGTCTCGCTATGCCTGGAATATCATTCTCGTGTTGGTGGGCATCACGCTTCTCTCTGCCTGCTTTGTGCTCCGTGCGTACAACATCAATCGTCGCAAGCGGTGGCTCGCACAACGTCGCAAGCGAAGAAATCAGCGGGCGGTGCGGCTAGCTCGACAACGGGCGAGAGCAATGGCAGCGCATCAGGACGATAGCGACGAGTGGGATAGCAGTGGCGCGGATGGTGTAGAAGAGGTGTCACTCATGACACACGTGCAAGATATCGAGGATGACGAGTCAGGAGCGTCCGCCAGCGAGAGTTGACATGGATGTCGATAGTGCAATATCCGAGGCAACAAATGATCGAGATTAGCGAAGACGTCTACTGGACATGAGCTTTGCACGAACGTATCGGTGACTCGTGTGGCTGTAGTCAATGCGTTGCTCGTTCATCAGCAACGCAACGAACAATTAGCCGCGAGACAGGAAAAGGTGCTCTGGATTTCTTTGGAAATTGCCCCGTCAACACATTCACATGAGTGGCAATACCACTTCCCAGACGACACAAGTGAGCGAGGCGACATCACACACTGCCTTCCGCTTGTGTACGATGGGATGACACGACTGTCGCATGGCATCACCACATCGTTGGTCAAGTGGACACTTTGATGACTTCAGCTCGAGCAACACACAAACAGCGACGGACGTGTGCAGGTACCACAAGTGTCACTTCCATCGAAACGACGACAAATGACAGCGCATTCATGCGGCCACGCGTGTGTGACCTGACGTTATCGCAGACCTGTCAAACTGGCCACGTGAATAACAAACGAAAGTGAAGCCATGCGAGAACTCCGCCTACGCCCACACGTGCGTTTCCATCGTCAGATACCAAATGAACTAATTCAAACTGAACAAAACCAGCTCACGCACTGGCTGTAGCCATGTCGCAATCCCAGGTGCAACGGCCAGCGCTCGTGTTCTTTTCGCTTGGACCCCAAAGTCGATATCGGCTTCTACAGGGTGCGCCCCAACCCGCCCCCCGCTTCCGCCTCGATTCTCACAGGCTAAAGCCCAACCAATCGACCGAAGCGCACGCAGGTGCATGTCCAATGAGAGCGAAGCGTCTTTTTCCGCCTATAACAACGGCGCTGGCGGCCCAACTAACACTGCCGTTGTCCATGTGTGTGTGTGCACGTCTCCCTCTCTCTCTGTCTCTCTGTCTCTCTGTCTCTCTCTCTCTCTCTCATGCCGCTGCGTGCAGTAGCGAGCCATGTCGAGTGACGGAGACGCCAACAGCAGCAGCAGCAACAACAACAACGCCAACAACGTGAACCTGCAGATGCAGCTCCAGCTCCAGAACCAGCGCGCGCAGATGCAGCAGCAGCAACTCGCGCTCCACGCGTTCTGGCAGCACCAGCTCCAGGACATTTCGCAGATTGACCCGAATGCGTTTGACTTTAAGACGCATCAGCTGCCGCTCGCTCGGATCAAGAAGATCATGAAGACGGACGAAGACGTGCGGATGATCAGTGCCGAGGCGCCCGTGCTCTTTGCCAAAGCCTGTGAGATGTTTATCCTCGAGCTCAGTCTCCGCGCGTGGATCCACACGGAGGAGAACAAGCGCCGCACGTTGCAGCGCAATGATATCGCTACGGCCATCACCAAGACGGACGTGTTTGACTTTCTCATTGACATTGTCCCACGGGATGATATCAAGCCGGCCAAGAAGGTAGGGGTGTGCAAGGTGCACACAAAGAGAGAGAGAGAGAGAGAGGAGGGGATGCTGGTTGTTGCGGTGACTGAGCTTTGTGTTTTTTTTTGCTCTGTGTTTGTTGTGTGGAATCGGCAGGGACCAGTGGATCCTCAAGCAGTCTACCAGCAGCAGCTCCAGCAGCAACAAGCTGCGATGCTGCAACAACTGTTGCAGACGCAGCAGAGTGGGGCCGTGGCCGGCGGCATGCAATGGCCGACTCAGCAGTTACAGCAGCAGATGTTGCAGCAGTACCAGCGGATGCAGAGTATGCAGCAAAACGCAACGGATGCTACCGGTGGGCCGACGACGCCGTCGAATGGAGTGTTGCCCAACTTGTCGCCGTCAGAAAGCGACGCGACTGGCCAATCCGAAGCAAACACGACTCCGGGAGACTCGACGTCGACGTCTGACCAGCTCTCGTTGAACCAACGTAGCGTCGATGTATAAACGCTGCTTAGCTTGTACAGCACAGCACAGCCAGCACTAACTGGTGGTATGTTTCTATTTGAATGAATAACTTGCATTTTCGAAAAGGCGTTGACCGTATCTTGTGCCATGACGCCCCTTGTCTTCTTCTTACACGTTCAGTCGCTCACTTACTCCCGTACTCCGGAGACTGTAACTTATATCGTCTACCACACAACAAAACGCATCTGCGTACATACTTACTCGGACGCTTTAACCGTAAAAGGCAGCGGGGGCATCTTCGATCCCTTCTCGGTAACCTTGAGCAGCTGGTAGCCGGCCACACCGCCAATCTATAGCAAACAAACAACGTCAGTATACAGCCGTCGCTTCCCTGCGCCGTGCTTGACGCATAAATGAACGCCACGTACCGCGAAGGTCATGCCAAGAATCGACTGAAGCGTCACTGGATTGCCAAAGTACAGTACGGCGCTAAGGATGACGACCACACGCTTCATTGTACTCATGATGGAGAAAGTGAGCTCTGTGACCTCGCCCAGCACCCATGACGAGCAGAAACTTCCGACAAAATGCATCATGCTGCACAGCAGCACCTTGCCGAACGGGAAACTCGCGACAAAGTTGTCCTGGTGAGCTCGCGCCGACATGAGCACGAATGGTGCGTTGATAGCGAACGACACAAATGAGCTGTAAAAGTGCAGCTGTACAAGACACACAGGTCAAAATGCAAGACTCCACGAGCATCCCACATGTCATCAACTCGCACGTACGTTCACGGTATCAACCACAATCCGGCGACGCAACAGAAACTTGGCGTACATACTCTGCATGACACCCAGCAACGCAGACGTCACGGCAAACATGGTGCCCGAGAACGCGAGGTCCTACACCAAGCCAAAACAAAACATCCGACACTACCATCAGCTTTTGCAAAGACCCCGCCAACTACTGCGACAACAAGCTTACATTCATGCCCATTTCCGACACAGACGCCATGACAACACCAAAGACGATCGGGATCAGCGTCAAGTACGTCGCTGCAGAGAACCGCGAGCGGTAGGCCACATACGCCAACAAGACGTTGAAAAACGGCTGCGACGCTTTGCAGGTCTGTGTAATGGACACCGGCACGACGTTGTAGCTCCAGTACGTCAACGTCTTGGCCAAGACTGAAAAGAGACTCAGTGGGACAATCCACAGGATGCTGCGCATGCGAATGCTCTGCATGCGCCAGGCACTGGCATTCGTGGGCGAGCTTGGGAACGTCAGCACCACAACTACAAAAAAGCACACAAAAAAGAGAAACAGCTCAACATATGAGAAGCAAAGCACAACAAACGACAGATGCTTCAGGTTCGACTCGAAAAAAGGGTGCACGATCTCTGCAATGCACGTCTGTTAAAACACAGACACTTGTCCGCGTCCGTACGTATGTACGTACAGTCAAGAAGGATACTGACAAAGAGGTGACACATAGTGAGCATCTCAGCCGACACGTGATGGTCCTTGATCAGGACTTTGTTAATGAATGTGGCAGACATGGAAAAGAGGTACCACACGCTCAGGCAGCAGCATATCTGCAGCAGCACATCAACACAAAAAAGAGACACGAGAAAGCAGCGTCGGACTCAGCAACGACGAAAACACGAGTGCGCAAAAGGTCGGAGAAAAATGCAAAGGGGACGACAGCGACTTTACGTACCCGCAGCGCTTTGTGGTCGCGCAGGTGCTGAGCCATTGCATGACTCGACGTGTGTTTGTACCCTTTCACAGGTACACTCAAGCCGTCCTCGAGGTCATCCAACAGGTACGGGGCTTTCACGCGAGCCACTTTCATGCTCGAAGTGTCGCGGCCCCGTGACTGACTGACTGACTGACTGAGTGACTCGAGCAGTTGATAGTGAATTGGACAGTGGCGCGCCGGTGGCGGCGAGGCCGACGATTGGCCGCCGAGATGGCGAGTTGAGTGGACTACACGAAGTTACAGCGGTGCGGCCGTATAAGAGTAAACGAGTGTATGACGAGTAGACACGACCGTTTCAGAGGCAAAGCAGGAAGAAAAGAAAGGCGGGCACTGTTGCACCCCTTGTGACGTGTGGTCGCCTGAATGAAACGGCTCGAACGCCGGTGCCACTGAAAAGCACAGCGTAGGTACGACACGACAAAAACAGGATAACACGCGTAATCGTGCAAACTCACGTTTGGGGAAACCCACCGCAAACTCATTTGTTGCCTCCTAAAGTAGGTTGTTTTTGATTGTATTGACGTTAAAACGATAAAACAATGAAAATGTTATTGAGGCTTATAAGATCCCTGCGACATGCAGCAGCGGCTACGGTCATGCCGACGTGATTCATGTGTAAGCCATTTTTTTCTTTCTGTTGACACGACTGAGGTTTCGATGTTGATGTAAGAACACCGCCAAACGACACGGACAACATTCACGATCCATTTCACGATCGCATCAGGAGGATGCAACGTTGTCTGCTCTTGCTTGTGTAAGTGCAAGCGTACTCAATACGTGAGTGACGGCAACCCACGCAGCAACTTGACTAAAGCCATGTAACAAGACAAGTCTTTGCAGATCTGGAGCGCCCACATTTGTATCCGTCGTTTAGATCAAGCAGACAAACATATGTTGCGGACCCCAAGCCACATTGTCGAATGCACGAACGTACCAGCAACTATACGGCTGTCTGCATCGGTGTGCTTGAGACATCATCTACTTCTGATGAACCTTGTTCTCTCTTTATGCGAAAGAGATCTTACCTAGAGTACTATATCGTACATCTGCAAGCCGTTCCTCTCGTGCTTCGCAAACCTGACTTCTCGCATGTCTTCTCGATCGCAGAGCTGCAGTGCCTCGAAATGCTCTAGCTGCAGTTTTGACTAGTGGGTGATGATTAGCGATCCGATTGCACAAGCTGTGATAGGTCAAGCACATGCCGGTACCTGATTGTCAAAAACATAGTACTTGGCACATTCCAAATAGAAGTGTGATCTCAGACTTCAACTTGTTACTTGGCAAAGCCCAAATAGTTTGTCGAGGACGAATGGTCTGATGCTACTTTGCTCGTCGGTACGCTTGTAAGGTTATCGATATACTAAATAATAACATTTGGTTGCGGAGGATTAGTAAATATGTTGTAGGGTTTATAGTATAACCCTATTTACGACATGCGTTCATTTGCGACAACTCCTCCACGTAAATTACCTTTAGCGGACCACTCATTACAAAAATCATTAAATTTTTACCAGTCGCGCTTTTTTATACACGGATGTCATCTTTTTTATCTCACTAATTGAATTAAATAAAATGGTACAGAGGGAGTTTGCATGAAAATCGTAACTATTTTCAGATTGTAAACACAACAAGGATACCCGCAGTATCGGGCGCTTTTCATTATAAAACATAAGTAATAAAGTTCCTAGTGACGAGGTATCAGTGATGGGGGTGACCATATACGGCTCTATCAAGTAGCCTTCGCATAAAAAGGTGGAAGGTGAGGATGGTGCCGCAAGTGCTGGTGATATGGACGTAGCGGAAACAAATTATCTTGTGATAGACACGACAAAACGCGATTGTGTGTAACAATGAATATCGCCTCATAGCTAGCTTCTTATGATATTAAATGTTTTAATATAAACAGGCTAAGCGAAATGAATCGTGACAGACAAAGGACCTAGCTACCATTCATTTACGTACCAACTTACGTTCATCGATATGCTACAGCTTATAACATCCTTAGTCGCCCTCAAATCACGAAAGAAAGCGCACCCCTTTAGTGATACGTTGGTTTGTGTCGTAAGGTCTTCGTCGTAGCTGGCGGCATTGCGAGCGCGAGGCGATGTTATTATTGGTCGATACGAGCTTTTAATATAACACATTGTGATCTTGGTATGATTATTATATATTGGTTACCTCGCACAACTTTTCTGCATGATGCATCATTTCAACAATTGTACTATCGACTAATCACAGCTGTTTTGCATAGTTTTGATCGACAAGAGACAACTTTTCTCGATAGCTGTGTACCACGTAGTGTGCGCACCATCCGATGTTCACAATGTGACGGGGTTACATGACATGTGTGATTTATACAACATTTGTGGGTTACATAACATGTTTGATTTACACAAGGGACGGAGTCCCATTTAAGATGATGTTAGAACAACATATCAGTTGCTGGAGGATGACGTCTGTCAGCCACCGAATTACGAGATCTTCTAGGAGGTATAAATTAGAACATTAGTGTTTAGATTAAGTACATTCTTCAAGGTGTTCTTTTGGCTAGAAAGTAATAAAGTTTAGTTTCCCTTTTGATCACTTAAAACACGTGCCTCACAAGGCGTCTTTGATCGTTAAGAGCTAGCAACGCCTGTGAAGGGAGCTGTTCTTGAGCACTCTGTGCTGTGATTCTCTTGAATCGCTTGGTCCCCTGGAACAGGGATCGTAAGCTCTAGAAGCTTGTTGACTCTCTGAGTCGGGTTCTCTGAGCCAAAGTTGCTCGTCGAGCGTCAAGTCTTCCTCTGAACTAAGGAGCTATATAGCTCCGCTACACAAAGCATCTCGACTTACTATTTGAAACACAACAATACATCGATTATCACGACCCATAAACTAGATGTACAGCGCTGTTTAGAGGTGCTGCCAAGGTTCATTACGATTAGTTCTACTACTTGTCGAGTCCAGAGTGGACTAGCAATAATGAAAACCACAGAAAAATATATCTCTGTAACTCAGCCGCAAAGGGGCGCACGTGACGTCAATTGTACGTATGTTTCCTAGAATCGAAGTATGTGCAGCGACGGCTTATCGAGACTTGTTGCATAATTAAAGTCGAGTGGATTTAAATGCTTCACTAATTACATTGAGTGAATCGGCGTTATCAGCAATATCTCAATAGAAATCTCGCAGCTTTGAAGGCATCGGCGTGATCATCACTATTTTAATTGAAAGTCCGTTATTAAAGCGGCAACGGTAACAGCGAAAACCTTGGTCTCGATAATATTCAGAACGA